CAGAGACCCACCACGCAGGCGTGCTGGAGTCGGGATCATCCAGGAACCTCCGGCAAGTGCGAGATGTATGGCATGAATTCTAAAGCTCACACTCATCATCTAAACCATCAGGTGTCTGTTTGCACATACGCACCACACTACGAAAATGGCGTGGCAGCTTCCTCTGCTATATGGCCTGTCTCGCTAGGGTACGGCTGCACAGGGGCAAAGGATTATGCCATTTGACCGCATGAAGCCGTAAACTTTCCTGGCAGGCCTCATGACGGGGGCATCGACTGCTCCGCACATTCGTTCTTGCAAGATGCCCCCCCCTCCCCCACCCTCCTCCCTTCATCTGCATGTGCTTCCCAGGTCCATAGGTGCGTGCTGAGCCACTCCCATAGTCTGTCCATCGGACCGCGTCTCACGAGCCTCAGCACAGGTGCGTCCTCCTCGCCGTCATCGTCATAGAGTTTCCTGAGCTGCTGTCCCCTTGACCCATATGACCTATACCTCTCCCATGCCCTAAGCTGCATACACCGAACGGAGTAAATGGAGCCCTGAACTTGCCCAGGTCAGCATGACATGGCCAAACAACAACTAAATCCAGCAGTGCCCAGGGGGTGGGTGTGTGTTCTGAGGTTTGCAAGCACTCCTCAAGACCTCAAGTGATGAAAAGAGAGTAACATTTGCTTGAATCAAGGGAATCTCGCTTGAATGCCATGTCATGTGGGGTCATGTGTGTGCGTGTGCGTCTGCGTGCCTGTGTGGGCGGGTGCGCCTTTTTGCTTCCGACTGCCTAGCGGAATTGTTCCCTTTATTAGGTGTTTGGGGTCTGCGGCAAGCATTCGGGCCTACAGACATTCATGCGCACGTCAGAAAGCGCTGATGCTCGGTTTTTTCCGGCGTCAGGTAGAGAGATTGTATTCTGGCCATGATTGCTGCTTTGGATACTTTGGATAGGACAGCAGGGTGTTGAGAACACAAGGGTTGCCGATACCCTCATGCAAGGTCGCTTGAAGGCACAAGGATTTTCAAAAACAAAACTTACACACACACACACACACACTTGCACAGTGTACCTCGATGATTCAACCGACTGTCATGCAGCGCAAGCCTCTTTGTTGAAGCAAAGTCGGAATCAAACGTGCGGCTGTGGCTGCTCAACTGAAATGCTTTCCTGCCACTCGTTGCAAAGCCTACGGTTGGGACTCAGGCTTAGGGTGCTTACTTGCAGATCTTGCGTTTGGTGGCAAACGCATGAAGAGTGCTTAGTGCTGGAGAGAGTGTTAACCCTGCCGTGAACCTTGAAATGCAGCAAAGCAAGCTCCAGCCTGTTGTTCCTGGAACGATTTGAGTTCACATCCACTGTCGACCTGAGCAAGGCGTCTGAGGCTTAGGGTCCTAGATGTAGCCATCCAACGACAGGAGTCAGATTCGCCTTTGCCGCGACTAGTTTCGTGTTGCCCCCGCTTTAGTATCGCTATCTGCTATCCGTTGTTTTGCGAGTTTGCAAAATTTGATTCGGGGCACCCTATTGACTTGGGTGACCCGCAATTCTGCGAAGTTCGTGCCCTGCGGACCCTGCGAAAGGGAACAAACAACAAAACGTGATCATGAAGAAGGACTGGAAACCTTAGGCTCTGAAGCTTCAAGGCTTAGCCAGATTCCAGCTTCAGATTCCGGAATTTTCCGGAGCCGGGCTTTATTTCAGTTCCTCCTAAAATTTGCTTAGGAACCAAGCCCCCAAACAATGGAGTCGCCGGCGAGCACTTTGGAAATTAAACAGTTTCGGTTGCGCGGATTAGTCAGGAGACCCCCAGCCAGGGACTCAAAACAGAAAAATAAGGCCTGGAAACCCCAGTCCTACATCCCTTAACCCTCGACCCCTGCACTCCTCGACCCTCGACCCCTACCAACCAGCCCCCGTTCCGTGAAAAGAGGGCGTCCAAAAACCGCGACTTTCATTTTTTTTTGGGGGGGGGGCCTAGATACTAGAGCAAGCACAACATTACAAAGCAAATGCCCAGACCTTCGCAGCACAGAACAGATTGCAACTCATGGTTCAAGCACACTATGTAGTCACGCCTGCCCTTTCAAGAAGGTGTTCGACTGCTGCTTGCTCGACCCTCCGTATCGTTCTGTCAGGTTGGGGCCCGCAGACGCCGCAGACCCTTGCGAAGTCGGTGCCCTGTAAATCCTACAAGTATAAGCCCCAGAGGTGGCATCTGCGAGGGTCAGAATCATTGGCCATTCCGGACAATTAATGTACTTTTCTCGAGCTGCTGTCCGTCCAGCACTACCAACAAGCCCCAGTCACATCCGCGATTCGTTTCGAGCCGGCGCTGCCGAGGTTGCCTCACTCGACTCGCTCGTCCTTTGCTTCGTCGGATTTGGGGTTCGGTTCGGGGCTCTTCGCATTCTCAGGACAGCCTGATTGCACATGTTAGCAAGTGGGGGCGGTCCGGTCCAGCTTAGGGTCCCCATCAGGGTTGCTGCATATAAGGGCATGGTAAAAGGTACGGAAAATTGCGCCCTGACTGAAAGACCCTGATGCAGGGCTTGCAGGTGCTATCTGCCTCAGCCGGGGCAAGCAAAAGAAGAAGTATCAAAAGAGTTCTGGGGATCTGGACATATCTAATTTTATTGGGCGAACCTGGCCCTGGAGTCCTCTTGAACCCTAACGTCCTAAATCCTTTTCGGGTACCCCGGTGTCCTTGGCGGGCTCTCGGCGTTCTCTGGAGCAGTCCTCAGTGCAGCTCAATTTCAGCAGCGGTTTTCAGGACTTAGGACGAGGGTTGAGCAGCGTGACTGTTTGCAGGGCGGCCACAAAGGACGCACGGCTTCGGTTTCGCAGGGCAATTTTGAACCCAGGCCGCCGCTCTTCTTCAAAACATGCCACATAAGGGCCTTAAGGGCCAGCTATAAACCTCACCCCCAAATTCAGGCCAAAGCTTCTCGGAAGACGGAAGCACCTCCGCATCCGGATCAACCAGTCTCGGGGGCGGAACCACCTTCCTAGCCGAGGGCATATTGTCAGCATTTATATATATATATATGTTCATATGGATATGGTAGCATACATATATATATATATATGGAAACGTCACGGGGGGGGGATTCGATAATTGGAGTCTTGTTGTTTTCTTGTGGGTTCGCAAGTTGAAGAGGTTCACTTTTTGGTGGTTGGACATTCTTGAAATGAATGTGTGAAAATGGGTTCCTTGCGTGACTTGGGTAGTAGTTGAGTAGTTGTGTGGGGTGGAACCGGCAAAAAGCAACAATCGTAAGGACTGATGCGCATCGATTCGGCATGATCTGTTTCTTTCACGCAATGGAAAAGTCTGGCTCTGCCAGCTCCGCATACATAGAACTTGCAGCCGAACCCGTAAGCCGCAAAGCATACACCCCCAAGCCCCTGAATCACTGAAGAGAAAACAACAAAAGCCAAGGTAAGATCCTCAACAAACCCGAAACGCCTAATAAGGCAAAGACTCATCTTCCTCACGTCCAACACATCCTTGTGGTAGCTGTCCATGCGCTCGGAAAGCCGGTCCAAGCGATATTCGATTCTCATTAGGGCCTGGAAGAAAGGCGACTGCGGTTCGCTGATGTCGTACCTTGACTCAAAAGGGCAGACGGGCTCGACATCGGAAATATAAAGTCTTGGGACAGACGGATAGCTTGGGGGCATTTTGGATGGCAGGAGCCTTAAGTACGACTTCCGGATAGTTGGGATGCCCGGATTCCTTCTCGGGTCTTCGGGATGATATAGGCCACCCTCTTTGACTCGCCAACTACAAAAAATGTGGTTCATAAAGCAGGTCGAAGGAAAAAAACTTGCAGCTGAATGAATGCGGGCTCGTGTGCTCCATGATCACTCCAGGCTCTCCACCTTCCCGGCTGCTGCAGCTCCATGTGCAGGCCGGCGCCGCCATGTTGTGTCTTTGGCAAATCTGACCCCTGAAGCCCTAATCAGAACTTGTTCAGAAGGTGGCAGGCTCCACACGACTTATCCCACAACGACCGATGACTTTGAGCCAAAGGCAATGGTAAGGAAAAAGAGATTCTTGGTAAAGACAACATGGACGAGACAGAGACTGCGAGAGAGTGCCAGAGAGAGGCAAAGAGCACCAAGTTGTTGCCACCCATCGACCTTTCGGACGTATGACTGGCATGCTCCGCAGGACCCGGTAAGGGACTCAAATATTTGGACGATTGCAGCCACATAAGTGACACTAGTCTCAAGGCAAGCTGCGGAGAAGTCGCCAAGGCCCGCTTGCCATTGCCATGCCGGGTCTATGAGAGGGCACCGGGAGATGACGAGCAAGCATTAAAGGCTCTAAGCGAACCTGTTGTATCATGTTGAATGGAGGGACGCCCCAACAATAACATGAAACAGAATGCGCTTCTGTAGCTGCCTTCGTGGAGCGGCTAGCAACGATGAAGTCAGAGGTGTTCAAAAAACAGCTCGATGGTAGAAGCACCGGGTGTACTAGCTGCCTTCATGCCGATGCAAAAGGTTGCGAAAGCTGTAGTTGCATGGCCGGGTACCCACAAAGCAATTGCCATGGGACCAGGCGGCTAGCAACCTGAACTGGGAATCTCGTCTTGCTAGGATATGCTCCGAAAGCTGACCTTAGATCTGACGGCTCGGGTATAGGCTTGGAATCTCAATCTTACAGTTCTGCACACGTGAAACTTGTAAGGCCTAGAGGCCCACAGGCTGATGGCTTCAGTCTTCCGATCTCGCAGGAAACATCCCTCCCTCTTGGGACATCTGGCAGCGGTGATGGGGTATCCCGGCGACTGCGTATTAGATTATGGTGAGTGGAAGTACAGTCCTGTGCTTTCTTAGTCTTGTGGGAGAGAAACGCTCTCAACTGTCGACTTTAAGAAGTCGCCAGAGTGAGCTCTCCCAAATATACACGGCCTAAGCCCGCCTTGGGCGGCAAAGCCGCGGGGATTCCCCCAAATAAAAGGCACACCGAAGCCCCGGCAACCCTCTGAATCCCTGGCGCCTGGTCGTAAACGATCATCGCTCGGACCTCAGCAATACCATGCAAAACCGAAGCGCCTTGCATGCTTGGTATGGGGGTGGAGCTTCAATGTCAGCTTCGAGGTTCGGGGTGCTCTCAATCGCACCAGCGAACACTGGTTTCCGGTGTGACCCCGAAGCCTCGAGCCGAAGATTCTTGAGCTTGTCATGCTGAGGCATTGGGCCCACTTGCAGATGCCACAAGCTGCCACTGACGCCTGGCATTTACCAGGCTTCGCGGAACATACGAAGTCCTTTGCCAAACTGGGCATTCTAAACGCTGCAATCCCTGGGTTCCCAAGATGGGGCCTTCTTGATGGCATCCGGTTCGAAGTCCCTTAGCATCCGTATACTCAGCCGAATGTCCGACAGAGATGCAGGGTCTCACCGGACACGCACTTGACCGCACAGGTTCGAACTGCGAAACTTATCACCTCACAGATCTTGACAAGCGAAACAACGAAACTGCTTCTACTTCTCGATAACTTCATGGAAAGCATCGGATCCGTCTCCAGTGGCAGCAGCTTCGTCATGACCTCACCAGTTGCGGAACGCCGCTTCCGGCAGTCTACATCAAGCGTCAGAACAGAACGCATGTGTGGCTCCATTGAGATCCAGAACGAATACATAGACATTCTTTCAAGACTACTTGTAAAGTATTTTACTTGTATAGCACTCTACTTGTATAGTATTAGACTTGTATAGCATTATACTTGTATTGCCAAGTGGGAAGATTCAGTGTCACCGGGTCCCCCCAGAGTTCTGCCAGCTGAGGTCGGGGCGTCGGCCGGGATGTTATCCTTGTCGAAGTTGAGCAGACGCTCCAGCAGCTTCGAGTCGCCCCAGAGCTCCTGTTTTGGGAGGCGACCTGAAGTGACCTTGAGGTTTCCTGATTTTTTTTTTTTTTTTTTTGGGGGGGGGGGGGGGGGGGGGGGGGGGGGGGGGGGTAGCGCGAGGGACGGGAAGAAGTTCCAGTTCTGCGTTTTCCCCTCAACTTGGACTGGCCTTCTTGGCGGGATCCCAGTAGTCGTCCACCTTGGACCTACCATCCGGTGCAGGCACCTGCATGTGAGATTTGCGGCACATCGTCAGCAGTCGTTGGGCAGGGGTACTCGCTGATGCGAAGATGGTCCAGAGGGATTAATTTGACGACGGCAACAACAAAGGCCAGAGCTGGCCTTCTTGGGCTTCACGCCAAAGCACCAGCACAACGCTTTGGACACAAGAACGACACCTGAGCTGCGAGGGCTTCATCAGATTCAGTGGGAAGAGGGCAGGTGCTCTTCAGCGCAATTTCTAGCAAATTTCAAGGGACAAGGGAACACTGACACGTCCGGCTTGTGATGACGCGTATCTAGAGCAAGTACCCTTAAAGCATGAAGCCCAAAGCCCAGAGGTACTCCACTTCAGTTCTCCTTTTCACAATACGAACCAAACACAGAACAGCTCTGCACCGAATGCTGCCATCAAGACATATTTCAGACATTGAAAGTGTCGCAGCGTGTCCCCAGAACTTCACCTCCCTCACCGAGGTCAGGGCCCCCTGGAGGCTTGCCCATTGCCTTGACCTCCACAATGTCTCCCTTCGACAGCTGATTCAGCGCCTTCACCAGAAAGTCTTGGGGATCACGCCTAAGGCGTGAGGGTCTTGGGGGTTCGGAGTAGAGGATGACCTGTCAGAGTGGATACCTCTGCCCGACGGTGTGTTGATGGAATGAAGCCTGCTGGACCTGAATGTCTGCCATCGAACTTCCTTCTACCCTGCGACATGGTGATGAAACCTATGGCTGCCGAATGAACTATTGCTATGTTTGTGTTGTGATGGTGTCCGATGGTTCCTTCATGCATAGGAGTCTGCACCGTTCGTTGTTCGTGGAGAACCAAACGGTTGTAGACTCCGCAGGGGCCCCAAGCCCCCCCCCCCCCCCCCCCCCAATAAAAACCCCCGGTGCTTCCCAAAGCTCTCCAGCTGCCCCTAATTATTGCAAGTTCGAGGCGACCACCCAGCCAAACCGTTGAATATCAACGTGAGCCGTTGTGAAGTTGCTTTGGTCTGGAACCCCAATTCGTTTTAGACCTGGCGGGGTTGTCAAAAATCCAGGCCAGGGTTGTCAACTCGCTTGCCACAGCATTGACCCTCGGCCCTACAAACCTTCGAAAAGTTGAAGACCCATGGCCGACAACTCTGCAATGGTCCTCGATGGCCGAGTTCAACGCCGGCATCGCCTTGTCAAGGTCTCGCCTTGTTGAGGGGAGTGTCTTGAAGTGCTGGTTTTGGGTGTTTTGGGGTGGTTCTGAAAATTGGAGGCTATTTTGTTTTGGCTGCGTTCCTACCCAGCTGGCATGCCAGTCGCGAGGCAAGTCCACACGACCGATTTCAAGGTAGCCCTTATCGTTGATTTTTGTAGCCGCGGCCCGAATTGAAGGACCCAAGCTCATTGATTGACAGTGGAAACTGAAATCGAATTGAATGAATGTAAAGAGAAACCTACGACAGCTGACCATGTAGTTCTGAAAGTGTTGGGCAAGAGAGTGGCTTCACCCGATTTTTCGGGATGTTGCCGGGGGGTCCATGGCAAGTTACACCATTCATTCCCGCACGCTTAAGACAGCTCGATGCTCCCTACGATCCCATCACGCTCTCCAATTCTAGCTTTGATTAAACGAATGTTGGAATGTCTGAGAAATCTACGACAGAAACCGGGAGGACTGCGGCTCCTATCAGTCCTATCAAAGATGTTGTGGACCGTGGGAACGAATGGCTCGGTTTGCATAGTCGAACCGGACGCAATGCCGCCCTTTGCCCTCTACACTCCCATCAAATGTTCGCAATCCCAACAACTAACCCATGCACCTCTGCAGGGCCTAAAGCCTCAAGCCCCCACAAGCCCTGTGCTGGCAATCCATTTTCATGTTGTTGGCGCTCTCCGCCACCTTGGACGTCTCTGCGGCATCCTGTCAACCAACACAAAATGTTTTAGAGTTCCAAGGAGGCGTGGAAGGGCTCAGAAGAAGCTGGATGCAGTCACCCTGGGCACCTAGCACCCCAAGGGTCTGAGCATCCTTCAACTCAAGTTTCTCAAGGTCCTTGGAGACCACCTCTTCAGTCGCAGCGGCTTCCTTCTGCTTGCCTTCAATTACCACCATGAGCTGTTCCTGCGCAGGGGTTGGCGCTGAAAAGCCTGATAGAAAGGTTCTTGGAGTATGTCTGGGAGCTGTGACGCTGTGGGAAGCTTACCATGTGTTGCGAATCGCATGGGACAACGGGCGTACGAATTTCAAGTATCCATGTCCCCAGCACTACTTGGAAACCTCTACGTTGCATGTACCATACCGGTGCAAACAAAAAAAACACTTCCTGTGCTCTACCGCTGCCCGATGCTACTTTTGTGTGACTTCCAGGCTCCGCTTGTGGCAAAGAGAACTACAGCAGTGACACATACCACCTGCACGATTTCGACATCGCTTCTAGTTTGGTTCGTTCTTTCGCCATGGGTTCACTTTGACGCGACTTTCTAGAATCAGCTGAGTGATGTGGACCTTAAGCTTGTGGAGGAGGAGCGGAGGGATTGTCATTCAACTCTTTCAAGGCTTTCGGTGCTTCTTCTCTCCACGCTGCTACTGTAATCCTACTCTCAAACCTGCTGCGCAAGGGTGTCTTTCTCTGGCAGGGGGCTCGGAAGTTCTGCGGTCCGCTTCAGGCACCGCTATGTTCTACGCGTGGTGCCTCAAGCTCGGCAACACGCAGAAGCCCACAGAAAAGTGGGAGCATGATGCAGCGTGCGTTGTGCTGTTTGGCAAATGTCGCAGAGGAAAGCTTGCGACCCTTACCACTCCATGTGATCCCCACATTCAGTCGGATGCCGGGGCTGAAGACAAGGAGTTGAAGTGGACCTCGCAGCGAAATCTGCCATCCAGCTCCTGGGGCATAGGCTCCGCTGAGCGGATTCGAGATACCTACGGAACACCCTCTTGAACCTCAAACCTCCTCAGGGATATGAAACATCGAAAAACTCACCAACACTTGTGCCTGGAATCCTGACCAGAACTCATCATTACCCCAAAACCCTGCTCCTGTTCGCTTCCAGTAGTATCCCCGCTGTGGCAGCCAGCGCATGCACAACTGCCCGTGCACAACCACTGGTTCGTGATCCTTCTTCGCTTCTGCACTCTTCGACTCGCCGGATTCGTGTCCTTCCAGCTGGGGCTCTCTCGACCCCGAAGGTGCAAACAGAGACGAGAGGTCGTATGCGCTGGCCCCTTGGTGCCATCAGCTATCCACGTCTGGCTCCTGACGTGGAAGGAAAGATTTATGGCGATACGCATGACAAGCTGGCTGTCCACGAAGCTTATGCAAAACTTCTGCACTGCCTGAAAGGGGGCGGTCATGGCAGCCATGTAGGTCTCCTGGTGGCGCATGCCTGTGAACACGCGAACAACAGTCACAGACATTCCGGTCGCAAGTGAACTCTGCTCGGACATCGGTGCATGCACAGCAACATGAAGACCTGCATGGATGCTACGAGGCGATGCGGGCTTTTTGGTACAGCACCCAGCGTGTTTGGCAGTGACGGTCATGGTTGTACAAGGTAGACACCGGGCACGACAGCAATCCCATCGACATCTAAGTCGGCAGCAATCGGAACTTTGTCTGATGTCGACCCCTTCTCTCTCCCAGAATGCGTCCCATATCTATCTACAGCATGTAGACACAGCGATTGCACTCATGCCGCTGCTCCTCGGCAGCAATCCGAACTTTGAAATTGTGCCCTCCAAAGAGGTGGCTTTGACACCCCATCGTCTTGTAACCGCCGTGTTCGGCCATATACAATCGTGCAGCCGTCTGGCAGGGGAAGCGGTTGGCTATGACTATGAGACTACATGTAGCTCCGATTGTATTGCTAGAAACGGCCGTATAACATAAACACATATATATATATTTATATTTACACGTAGATGCATGTAGATGTACAGGTAGGCTGTAGCCATGAGATAGTCTACATATGTCTACCTTTTCATCCAGAAAATGCATGAGCGAATGAACGTCGGGACACTCTGTGGGACACGAGGCTCACCTGCTCAAAGCGGCTAACAAGCCAGCAATCAGCAGGGCCGTGCTTGGAACAACAACTGCGCGGGCGGCGTTGACCGGTGTTGCCAGTGTCGACTGCCTGGTAAGGACCAGGAACCTTAGCCGTCTCGGAGTCTCAGAGCTATCACAGCAGCTGTACAACATCTGGAGCCTATAATGCGAAAAAAAACGTGGATGTGCAAGCAAGACGCAAGTCCGGCCTGAAGGACATGGTTTTGTTGAAGGTTGCGATGAGTTCTGCCTCTGCTTTTGTCGTCGGCGGGCAGATGCCGGTAATTGGATCTGGATCAATGCCGGCTCCGGCGATCTGCGTGAAGGTCACCTTCAACGGAGGGACGAACTCATTCGGAAAGAAGCCTGTCGCAGCCAGGTCATCCCTGTTGAAGCCTCAGTCATGTACTGCATCCGATAATTCGGTCCACATACTTTGAAAACACCCAGGCGCCTTGCTCAAGAAGGAGCTGAATCATGTGCTTTCCCTACAAAAGACAACAACCCCATACATATCTGACATTCGTGGCGATAGTCTACTAGTCTATGTTGCTCGGACAGTTCTCGCGCAAATTAAGTGCCTGCAGCAAAAACCCAGCAAAGATTGGCAAGTGAACGGCCCTGCAGAAGTATGTTTGACAACTGTGTCTTTGCAATCATTATTATATGTATACACACATACACATATATATATGTGTGTATATATAGATATATGTAGACTGTGTCTGCGCATATATACATAACACATTGTCAAGCAACTCTGGCGCGTTGTGTACCTGCAGCCGGCTGCTGTATTGCATGAACGAGCAGACGGGCACGAAGCGAAGCCGTAGAGGTAGAAGCACTGCTGGCACTCCATAAAGTCCCCATAGCGACTGCCCTGCGCATTCACGATGCAATAGTCCGGCTGCCGGAAGCTGTTGAAGCGTCGGCGGCTGAAGCTATCATAGTTGTAAGCATCACCGTACATGCTGTTGTAGGCATACATCGCCCCAGCACCGACCACCGCGCCACCTGCTGCATACATGGCAATGTTGGCAGTGTTGTCTGGCGGATAGGCGTTGTAGCCAGAATAGCCATAGGGAGTCTGATAAGGCATTGTCCCTCCGTAGTTGTTCATAAGCATTGGTCGACTATTGTAGCCATAAGGTACCGAACTTGACCCTGCGGAATAGACGTTTCCATCCATGCTGGTGGTGCGCCGTCGGCTGTTCAAGGGCGTCGGAACGGGTGGTGGGGGTGCCCGGCGGCGCACGTCCCTGCGGCGGGGGGAAACTGGTGCTCGCCTCCGTGGGCTCCAGAAGCTGGGTGCAGAGCTCGATCGTCGACGTGGCGAGGTGGCGGTGGCCGCTGGAGCACGGCGACGAGGCGAGGAAAACGAGAAGGAGCGTCTAGAGCTAGAGAAGCTGCCTCCACGACGTCGCGCGGAGAGCTGCCGAGCTCCCCCTGGCGCCGATTCCTCAAGCCGCCGTGTTGCTACGCAAGTGTCCGTGCCCTCGTTGTAGGTGGCAGGGGGGTCATCGCAGGTCTCATAGCTGAAATAGTAGCCAATTCCCAGCCAAGACTTCTTTGCAATGGGGCACTCCAAGTTCACGTAACACCACGCATCGCAGCACCATTCATGGTCACTTGACTCGTTCCAGCCGGAATCGGCATCAGAACCCCACACTTGTTTGCAACTTGCGTTGTCCCAGGCCTGGCATGAGCTGCCATAATCGGTAGCAAAGGTGTCTGGGAGTGATCCGGTGGGCAATTGACCTCTGCACTCACAAGCCTGCAGGTTGTACTGGCACCCAGAGACCACATCTGGCACGAGCTCGCACCTCTCCGCGCTCCAGAACTGGCCAGGCCATACGGTTGAGGCGCGGCTGGAGGGGCAACTGGCGTCCACCCAACACCAAGATGTGCAGCACCACATGTCATGATCGGCATTCGGGTAGAAGACCTCGCAGCTCCAAGCATCATGGGGACCACATTGCTGGCCGTAGTCTGCATAGTCGCTCGCATTCAAGCCCAAGTTCTCGATGATGCTGGAAGGCATGGTGATGTTCAAGCAATCGCAGCTCGTGTCATCTGCTGAGACGTTGGGCTGTGGCTTGAAAGGACACTGCGCCACAAGCGCAGCGTCGTCCTCGCACACATTCTCAGACCAGAACAAAATGCCTTCCATTCCAGGGTTCAAGGATTGGATCGCGCTGGGGCACTCCTTGTCCACGTAGCACCAACTTGCACAGCACCATGTGTCCACCTGATCTGGGCGATAGTTCTGAGCGCAGTTCTGGACGTCCCAAGACCCACATTGGGAGCCATAGTTGAGATCAAACTTGGCCTTCATGGCGTCGTTGAAAATGGTCCCTGAAGGCTTGCCTTGGCTCCCGGCCCTGGATCTTCTCTAGCCTCTATAACTCCCAAATGCCTGAAAGCTGATGATCATGAGGTTGCAAGAATTGCTCCATGTCTCCAATTAGCAAATTCTTCACAAAATTGACTGCCACCGAGTTGCACTTGCACGGGTCATTCTGCTTTGCCACTTCCGCCCATGCACATGGGGAAACTGGATTGAAATCGTTGCAGGCGGCATAGCTGAAGAACTCTCCCGGCATCAAGGAGCTTGAATAGGCATCTGGACAGTCGCTGCTGGCGTAACACCTGAGTGACGTTTCAGCCAGCCGGCAGGATACCTTCTTCTACTCTCTCACACTCTGATCATATAAAACTGCTGCTTGGCAGGCTGAGAACCAAGGGCGGCAGCACCAGCTGCCGACAGAGACATTGCCCCACCATTCGTCACACTTCGTGTTGTCCCAAGCTTGGCATTGCTTGCCATAGTTCCTTGCTCGTTCTTCATGGTGCTTACGTTAGGTGTCTACCAGGTCTGATTAGCCGATAGGATCTCCGAGAGTGTGGAGAGTAAAGCACTGCTGACCTGTTTGTGCCCACATATGCGCCGCACATCATGGCAACCATTCTGGGCATAGCAGGTGGCACCGTTACTTGCAGTTTGGGTGGCCATCGCTCTTACTCATACCCCCTCCTCCCCTGAGCTGCCGGGAAGCAGCAACCCAATGCATGG